TATATTATATTAGAAAATAGAGTATTATTATATATATAAAAGTTTTTCCTTTTCATCGTCATTTTGGTTTTAGAGATCATCAGGAAGAGTTATGGTTTTGTATTTATTTTACAGATTCATCTGATTTAAACTCTTATAATATTCATACAACCTCAAATTCTATTATAGTTTTCTACTAGTTAGTTAAATTAATTCTTTTTTAGTATCTAACTAGTCCTAAATATATTTTATCTAATAATCTTGAAATCTTCTATCTTTATTAAACTGAGTTTTTTTCTCAAATTAGATTTTAACTTATATAATCCTATAAAAAAGTTATATTATTTTACTAATTTAGAGTTTTTATTATATAGATTCTCTGCCTATATATTCTATTAAGATTAATTTATATAATATTATATCATATTTTTAAGTTTAGATTTATTTAGTACAACTTAATTTATAGGAATATATTATTAGAATGAACAGAATTTATTGTAACATATCATAAAGTCTAAGAAATTATTCAAATTTATTGATAGTAGAATTTGAATTTCAAATCTATTATATAGTAGTCTAGGAATCTAACTACTATACTAAGTTTATTAGATTTTTTTTAAATATTTTTTTTTTTTTTTACGTTTAAATAATCTTGCTTATCATTTATTAAGAAAAAATATGTAAATAATATTATACAAAATTATAAACTAAACTAATTTAGCTATGTATTTGTCTCTACTTGCAATTTAGGACTTACTCGACTACCATAAAGTATTTAAGTACAATCTACTACAATAGCAAAATTTTTCTTTCAAAAAAAAGGTTTGCCTAAGCAAAGTCACAATTAATTGATCTGCAGAAGGCTGCTATATGTCTATATCAAGATCATTTAGTTAGAACTACCTTATTCTTAATCCTAGATATTACTCTAAGAAAAAAAATAGAGTATAATCTAACTAAGTGTAGAAAATAAAAATTGTTTAGATCTAAAATGGCTATAATTTAAAACACAAATTCAAATTAGAAAAATCTGCTACAGATAAAAAAACTAATCTGAATGTAAAAGAGAAAAAAGAAAAAGGAAACAAATAAGAAAAGAAATCTAATTTATGAAAAAGAATCTCTTCTAAATTAATAAAAATATTATACTATACAATAGTAAAAATATGTATCTCATTGTTTATACTAATTTCATAATTAGATTCAAACAGGTTGTCTCATGTGTTTAGCATTTCTATGTGTTGTTGTTTTCCTGTATAATGTTGTATATTAACAGACTGTTCTAATTTAGAAATAATCAACAATATTGATCTTTGTATGGAGGTATGCTAAATCCCTATAATTATATGAAAAAAAGACCAAAAATTAAGAGAGAAGGTAGTAATTAGAGAAACTATAGTGGCAAAAAAGAGTAAAGTACTTGACCTAGTTCAAATACTGTAGTGGGTGCTTCTTCTTCTTTTTCTTCAACTTTTTTTCTTTTATTATTTAAAAACAAATAATATATTTCTTCAGAAAACCTTGATAGTTACTCCTTACCAAAACCAAGTCTTATACTTTATACTGCTTGTATCCACACAAAAACTAGCACCAAACTAGTTCAGATATACCTTGTGTTGTTTCCTCTATTGAAGTTACTGTATATTTCTTAAAAATATTAGCTATATTATTATTTTTTAAAAATAAAAGTTTTGCTTCACATATGATCTAGGTGATCATCAGAAAAAGAATGTCTCTAAATATTTTTAATTTAAATTATAATTATTATTAAATATAATAATTTTGCTAAAAATAATCTAATTTGCTGAAAACTTAAAATTTTTTATTTTCTAGAATATTTGATAGAAAAGATAAACAAACTTTACTAAACTCTACTAAATATATTAAAAAATTAATGATTACTAATCATTAGTAAAGCTTACTACTTCTTATATTGTTTATCTATTTTATAGAACAATTATTTTCTTAAATAACTTTTGATCTAATAGTTAGAATTGAATAAACTTTTTTTTTGTTAGATACGTATCACTAAAAACTTTCATTTTAAAAAAAAGTTTATTCAAATTAAACTACTAATTAAAAGTTATTTAAAAAAAGCTGATTTTTTAAATTTTGAATTTTAAAAGTTTTTAACAAAACTCTTATATAACTATATTAAAAATGTTTGAGGTTCTGTTAATCTGAGTTAGATTAACTAATTAGATTTTTGATAGCGTTGGTGTAAATTATTTATACAAAGTAATTATTTTTTTAGTAATATAGAATAACATAATCTATATTTATATTTTATAATTAATTAATTCTTATATACTAAAGCTAAATAAAATAAATCAATTTTAAAAAATATTGTAAATTAAATAAAAAACTTTTATTTGTTTAAAAAAAAATCAATTTTTAAAAAATATTATAAATTAAAAAACTTTTATTTGTTTAAAAAAAATCAAATTTCATTATTATAATAATGTAAATTTGTATTTTGAACATAATTAATATAACAATTTTAGTCTAAATTATGATATAATACTGTATACGCAATATTAATTTGTGCAAACTTAAAAAAGTAATATTTCTTAAAATATTGTTTCAAAAACAATATTCAAAACTAAAATTAATTGTCTACATAAATATTTTGTATTCTTAAAACTTATTTTAATATGATTAAAAATTAAAATTACCTAGAACTCATGTTGATGCTGCTTATTATCAGATTGTTTAGACTCAGGGTTTTGATTTTCACTAATCATCGGGGAAGAACCTTGATTGAAATTTGCAGCTTTTGGTTTAAGACCTATGTTTAATAAAAAATTTAAAAAAAAATTAAATACTGAAAATTCAACCAATCTTTTACAATAAATGCTTACCTAGAATTTCGAACATTTCTTGATCTGAATTATAATCATTATTATCTGTAGTTAATAATTTATCACCGGTAAAAATAGAATTTGCACCAGCAAGGAAGCATAGAGCCTACAGAATGGTAATAAACAAATATTTCTTAATATGATAGATTAATATAACAACAATGAAAATCGTTGATGAAATGTTAACTACTTGATCAGGTTGTGAGAATCGTATACGTCCAGCAGATAATCTTATCATCGATTTAGGCATGATGATTCGCGCTGTCGCGATCATTCGAATCATTTCCCAGATAGAAACAGGCTAATTTAACGAAGGATTTAGGAATTATAAGAAGAAATATTTATAACTTGATCATAAATTTCAACAACTTATTTTTAACGCAAAGAATAAAACCTCCTGTTTTTCCAATGGTGTACCCTCAACTTGCACAAGCGCATTAATAGGCACACTCTCGGGATGCAGTGCAAACGTTGCCAAGGTGTGTAACATATTTACGCGATCCTCAGACGTTTCACCTAACCCAATGATACCTCCTGAACAAACAGAAATACCAGCATTTTGAACATTTGAAATGGTTTCAAGTCGTTCATCATAAGATCGAGTGGTTATTATCTATTAAATAGAATATTTGTCAATGACATAAAATAATTTAATGCTAGAAATTTTTTTTTAAATCAAACCTTAGGATAATATTCTCGAGATGTGTCCAAGTTATGATTATAAGCAGTTAAACCAGCATCTTTCAAAGCTTTGGCTTGGATTTCATCCAACATACCCAAAGTGCAACAAACTTCCATGTCCATTGCCCTATGAATTAGCGAAATACAATATATTAATATATTGTAGTAGACAATAATAATCAATTACAGATTATTGGTTATGAATATATACCTAATTTCTTTTACATATCCTAAAATCTTGTTAAAATTGGATTTTCTACCATTAAGGTCACGCCAAGCGGCACCCATACAAAACCTACCGATATCAGAATGGTAAGAAACTTTATATTATCGCATATTAGCATCTTTAAGATGTATTAACCTCACCTGGTACTACCAGCTTTTTTCGCGTTCCTAGCTGCAACAAGAACATCATCTGCCTCTAATAACTTTGTAGCCTTGATTGTAGTTTTGTATTTAGAAGATTGCGGGCAGTATGCACAATCTTCAGAACATCCACCAGTTTTGATACTTAAGAGCGTGCACTGCTGCACGGCAAGTGGATCATGATTTTTCCGATGTACTTTTGCCTATAGAAATCATTTAACAATCATATGAATTCCTTTTGAATTTCGATATCATCGAAATGTGAGTTATCAAGATAATACTTGTTCAACTTACGCCATAATATAAAAGATTCATTATGGGTGAATCATAAATAGACTTGATTTCATGTTTTGTCCAATCGTTTCTCACATGACCATCAGCATACATTGATATATCAGCGGCTAAATGCGGTTTTGTTACAGGTTCTGTGTCATAGCTTACTGTAGCTAACCTATTAACTGGCGTCGCTGAATATAATCTAATAAATTTTAATAAGCCATTCTTATTATTCGAACTAAAAAAACGTACAGCATTCATTTTTTTAATTTAATTTTTTTTAACCAGGAAAGAGATTATTTTATAGATTTTAATTTCACTCCATGCATAAATATCGGTATCTGAGATCTTTTGTTTATATTTATTTACCCGAAATGATCACCAATATGTTTTGATAAAAAATATCAGTTGATTTGCAACAGTAAGGGGAGAAAGAGGAAGGACAAGATGATTTTAAATATAATTGAACCAATCATTTATTCTACTCGAAAATTGCGATCTGTTTCTAATTAACAAAATTGTCATAATTAATTCAAGACATGACAGTTAATTTAAACCTTAATTTATTACAAGTTCGTCAATATAATGCAATAGAGGGATGATAAAATAATTTTTTGCCGGCCCACAATTAGCAATTTTAAAAAGTCCGGCTCGCAATTTTACTGATTTAAAATTTTTCAATTTTCGGCATAAATTATATCAGACATAACTAAAAAAAATCTTCTAACCTTGTGTCTAAAAAATCGGCTGGTCAGTATGAGATCTTTTAACCATATATAGGCCAATTGGTTAATTTTATACGGTTGAATTTTTACAGTTTAGTAAATTTTTATAAAACATCACAGAAGCTCTTTGCAAACTAAACTTTATCTAAATTTACTTTGAAACAAATTTCCTGAAATAAGACGATTTAACGTTATTATGATCTGATCGGCAAAACATCTAGAATTTTTATTCCTTTTAGAATTTAGAGCATTGTAATTTACAAGATAAGATTTACAAACTATTTAAACACAAACCTTATCTAGAATTCATACTCCAATTTCCGAATCGGAGTACATCGGAATCTGGTCGATTAGGCCGGAATTAACTCTAAATTTTATTAATGTAATTATAGCCTACATCAAGAGATGGCAAATGATTTAAAACACAAGTTATTGATAACCAGGTAAATTTTATTTCAGATTTTTATATATGTTCTTGTTTTTTTTTTATGATTTGGTATTTTATATATTTTTATAATATTTGACTAATTAAAATCAAGATATCAGTTATCTTCAATCTTATGATTTTTTTACTTAATTTTTTAACTTTTTGTTTAATTGTAAAGTTTTTTCCTTGAAGGCTAACAAGCTAGATGCTTTATCGAATTTGGTCAGATGGTTGTCGAGATATCTTAGCTCAAAGTTAGAGAAAAATTTGTACAGATTTTATTTTGATGTGTTTTGATTTT